CCTTTGGAGTGTTTAATAGTTATGGTGGTTTGTATAATCAGCCTGCGCGTAGTAAGCAGGTCTCTCAGGTTTGTCGGCTCGGGGCTGTCCTCGATGTAATTTGAATAATTCGGGCTGATTTTGGCCGTGGTTTTATTAAGTAAAACTATCGTTTGAATAAAAAAAAGTCTAATTATTTTTTTATAGGAAATAATTAAATCATTTTAAACCAAATGCCAAAACATGAAAATTTGGCACGTATGATTCCGAAGCGTGGGAGTCTGTAGCATTCTAGAATTATATATAGAAGGATAGTGTCATATGTTGTTATGCAAAATATGCAACAACAATTTAGGAAAATCCCCTTAGTTTAAGAATTATTTATGTAGAGATTTTGCAAAGATTTTAGTGTGATTGTCAATTCAATACTGCATATATGCCATAGTGAAGATGAAACAAGGCGAGAAATTCAGTAAGACGAGGTCGGACTTTCACGTATATTATATATGAAACAACTCGGACCCTAATGTGCCTGTGTTTTAGAGTTGGATCGAGAATATAGCAGGTTAATGGCAAAATTTTCATCTCTCTTCTTTATAATTATTGAGGGGTATTTATACTATGAAACCCACGAGCACAATCTTCGAGGCCGACATGTTACTTGTATACCATTTAATGCGAAGTGATGACGAGGTGCAAAACTGCCCGGTGGGTCCCTAATGGAGACGAGCTCGCGATGGCTTTTCTGGATAAATTCGATTGGATGTCGAAGCTTAATTAATTATCTTATGGCTTTTATTCTTATTATTATTAGGTTTCCTTATTTTAAGCTATTTAGGATTAGAAGAATAATTATTTAGGGGATTTATCTTGTCTAGAAAGTTAGGGGTTTTTGGGGGTCTTAGCCTATATATTGTCTTTATCTCCACATTAGCCGATCAGTTGATTGAGAAATATTGAAAAGAAATATGTTCTTTCGTGAGTTCTCGTGTGTGAGTTCTCTTTTATTCCATTTCGTCATTCATGTTGTACATCAGTTGGTATCAGCAGACCGGGACGATTCAAGATGCCGCCACGAAGGAATGACAACGAACGACGTGATGCTCGTCTTGACGATTTGGATCGGCGTACCGAGGGCCTCGGCGCCCAAATCGAACAAGTAGACCGTCGGGTTGAGGGTCTTTCTGCAGGAATTGAGAAAATCAAACTAGCGATTCGTACCATGATGCACGGGGAAGAGACAGACCGCGACGTCACTAGCCGGGGCATTCGCGGCGTGTTACGCGGTGGTCCTGGCAGAAGAGGGCCGATCAAGGCGCCCCGACCGCGCTCGCTACGTTCACAGCACGGCTGGGACGACGACGAGGAGACCATATCTATGGTCAACCCGTTCGACGATGGTCAATATCAGCGAGCCGCTGATGAAGGCTGGGACACACACGATGGTCGTGGCGGGCGACGTGCGGAACACTTCATGGCCGATGACGATTAGTTGCAGCGTCCTAGGGTTTTCCAGCAACGACGACCAGGGCTCCACGACAATCCATTCCTGCGGCAGGATCAGGGTACCAGGCGCGACGGATGTGGCTTCGTTGGCGACGACCAACAAAGCCGCGACGGGGGGCATCAACATGCAGGCTAGGGCGATGCGGAGGGGATGGGCTGGTATTGGATGCGGGCGAGCAGCAACAACCTGCCTGGGATGTGTACGAGGTCCGAGAGTTCGCCGGCAGGGAGCAGCAGAGGTGGGCTTTTGGTCGCACACATGATGGGGGCGGCTCGTCGCAATGGGTGCAAGGGTTTCGAGTTGACATTCTCGAGTTTTTGGGCTGGATTGATGAGGTGAATTTTCTAGATTGGTGGGCCGCCGTTGAATCCATACTCGAGTTTAAAGGTGTCCCAGATGATCAATGTGTCGCGCTCGTTGCAACAAGACTTCGCGGGCGAGCAACCACTTGGTGGTTACAAATCAAAAGTACGCGGCATCAACTAGCCAAACCAAAAATCTCAACTTGGATTAAGTTCCGTAATCACTTAGAACGTCAATTTATACCATTTAATTATGTCAATTCTGTTTATCAGCAATTGCAGAACTTAAGGCAAGGGGCCCATTCCGTTAATGAATATACGAAAGAATTGTATCGCCTCTTGACTCGTGTGGAGGTTCGTGAGACGACGTCACCATTGGTTTTAAGGTATGTGGTTGGTTTACGTGTGGCTTTCCAAGATATGCTCAATATGTTTTTCCCCGAGTCGGTTTCGGTTGCACATCAGCATGCATTGTTACTCGAACAACAGCAAGCCCGAAATGCGGGTGCATTTGCTACGCTGACTACTAAGGAGATTCTGAGGACCGTGGTTACGGTGCCTTCTGGATCACTTGGCCAGCCGGGTTTTGGAGCAGTGTATGTAGGCCCTACGGCTAGAGGCAACGGTCGACAGTCGGTGGCGCCACGTTTCTTCTCCTGCGGCGAATCGGGACATCAGCAGGCATAGTGTCCGAAATCAAAGGGGTCACGAGCTTTAATTGTTGAGGAGATGGAGTCCGCGGAATACGATGGCCTTCCTATTTTCGATAAAGAACCGGAGGTTCCCGTGATGCATGTCTCGCGAGATGTGGATCACGCACTTGTCCTCCATCGATCCCTGTTGTCTCCCCACGTTTCTTCCGACGATGAGCATCAACGACGACACCTTTTTGAGTCTTACATGCACTATTGACGGCCGGGTGTGCCGTTTTGTGATTGATTCTGGCTCATGCGAGAACGTAGTCTCGGTTGAAGCCGTTCAAAAGCTGGGGTTGGTGAGTGAGCCGCATCCGGATCCATACTCTCTCGCGTGGATACAACGTGACAACGATGTCTTTGTTACACGTCGTGTGTTGTTATATTTTTTTATCGGCTCTTCGTATAAGGATGTGGTGTGGTGTGACATTGTGCCTATGGATACGTGGCACCTTTTATTGGGGCGTCCTTGGCTGTTTGATTGAGCCGTGGTGCATGACGGCTGTCTTAACACGTATGAGTTTACATTTGACGGTGTCTGCTTGGTTTTGCATCCTGCAGCTCCCCATTCGATGTTGGTGTCCCCACCGGCAAGCTTATTTCTTTCCCGTAGCGGGGCATGTGATGAGGTTTATGATTCATTGGACGATCGTTCGGTGGTGTTTGATGTGGGCAATTTTGTTTGGATTGATTCCCCAACGGACGGACGAGTCGGTCCTTACGAGGTTATCAATCGAATTCTTCCGGCTGTTTACCGTCTTTGCTTGCCCTCTCATGTGCGTTTGTCGGACATTGTTCACGTGGCTCAATTGGCTCCTTTCCTTGTCGACGACTCCGATATGGACGAGCTCGGTCTAGATTCGAGGGTGAATCCTTCTCAACCGGGGGAGGATGATGGAGACGAGCTCGCGATGGCTTTTCTGGATAAATTCGATTGGATGCCGAAGCTTAGTTAATATCTTATGGCTTTTATTCTTATTATTATTAGGTTTCCTTATTTTAAGTTCTTTAGGATTAGAAGAATAATTATTTAGGGATTTATCTTGTCTAGGAAGTTAGGGGTTTTTGGAGTCTTAGCCTATATATTGTCTTTATCTCACCATTAATCGATCAGTTGATTGAGAAATATTGAAAAGAAATATGTTCTTTCGTGAGTTCTCGTGTGTAAGTTCTCTTTTATTCCTTTTCGTCATTCACGTTCTACATCAGTCCCATGTCAGTCGATTGCTTGTCCACAAGGTTACTGACACATGGCTTGTCTGCATGTAATGTTCTGTCAGAGTCCGACCTTCATGGAGTCTGATTGTCCTTTTAGTACAACGATCCGGGTTCCATGTTTGATGAAGGTTATCCGTCTTTCGGTTCTTTCTCCGACCTTTACTTTTGAGAGGTCGGATGTTCTGTTTGCATCCGAGTCCCGACTATTGGCTGAAAAGTTAAAGTCCGACTAATCTCGTATAGTCTTCATACTTAAGAATCGTTGTTAAGTGACTTTGATGCCACGTGTAGCTTGTTTACAGCGGTGCCAGATCAGGTGTCAACATACAGGCCCACGAGTTCGGTCGTCCCACTATCGATGTAGGGTCGTCCGAAGTCGCTCAATATTGTTGAATTAGCCGAGCTAGCTCAAAGATATAAATGAAACCGTCAGCTGATGTTTGTAATGATTGCGTCGATTAGGGTCTGTGTATGTCGTTTCCCATGATAAGACATGAATCTCAACAGTCAACTTTTGAAATGTTTACTTTTGTAAAACGTTACTTATGTCGCATGGCGTCGATTGATGAGAAAACCCAATAGTATATAAAGGAAATATATATCTTTTTCTTGATTTTTCGCACTCTTGAAATTCTCGCAATTGTAACCTTAGACTTCCAAGTATTTGGTTGCAACTTCATCAGATTTTCGGCCATCAACATTTCCGACAAGGAATTTTTCCAAATCTTGATTTCTTAGATCACAATTCATATGCATCACGTGAAGTTGGCGGTTCTTCGTCTCCTTTCCCTACTGAAGAAGTGAGGGAATCGTCGCTGCCGTATGAGGTGGCGGAGATAGCGTCTCCGAGAACTTTGGCGTCTCCGGAGGAAGTGGCGGCCGAATCGGCGCCGAGTGGTGACGTTGATTTAGCGGTTAATGAAACCCTTCAAGGGAATATGGCTAAGATTTCAATTGATTAATATGATCCATTGATATACCAAATAAATAACTAAGATTGGACTTCGCATGAACTAAATATGCATTTTTTTACCTAAATATGCACAATGAATAAACTAAATATGTATTTCTTATTCGCAATTAAGTATGAATTATTTATAACTAAAATATGCATTGCCTGTTATCTGAATTTGCACAAAAATAAACTAAATATGTTTTAATAATTATATAATATAAAAATTCAAGGGCCATATTATGATTATATAATCTATAAATAAATTACAGGTTGAACTTAATGATCTATTTGCAATAATTTTTAAGTTTTTTAAATTATACCTAAATCCTCAAAAATTATATAATTTACAAAAGTGACCCCTGCCCCAAAATCCCTTCTCTCTGCAATTCCTTATCCAATTTCTGGCTATGATGTCTGATCCCAACCTGCAATTTCCGATCGCCGCGCCGAAATCCCTCTTCTCCGTCGCCGAAGCTATCAATCCTTGGGCTCCCGTTTGATGAACTCAGTATTCTGAATCTCGAACGCCTATCTGCGGAGAATCCGCCGCCTCTGACTTCGCCTCCATCTCCGTTGTAGCTGGATGTATAGGTCGTCGTCTCCGCCTCCTCCTTCACAAGGCTTGATCGCTGTCGCGCCTCGCTGGAGGACAGGGTGCAAAAATCAGTCGCCTTGCGCTACGCTGTCGTCTGCATCACCGGAGAACAGGTTTCCATTCGCTGGGGGCCAACAGCGGCGGCGAGGGGTGGCGGACTTCAGGAGGTGCCCTGGCCGAGGGAGCAGACGGGATTGAACGGCCAAAAATTTGCCTTGGTCGACAGTCAACGGTCGCAACCAAATGGTCAACGGAGTCAAAGCCATTAAATTATTTATTATATTATTATTTTAAATGTAACAAGAATAATTTATTATTATTTAATTAATATATTTTTTAATTGATTAATACAAATCCAAATCAATGACTAANAAGACAAATTACCAACTTATAGATACAACTTACAACATATATGTACATATAAACGAAAATTCAGGTTACATATAGCGACGAGAAGATATTAAGAAGTTACAAATATTAATTCTAAACCTACTGCAGAAAACTCGACAATTTTGGGTAAAATAAAGAAATCGTCTCTAATCCAGTTTAACTCTATCTGCCTCTAGCTGCTGCTGCTTCTTTGGCTCAGCAGGAAAGTACTTTATGCCTACCAGGTCGCCGACCTCGCTAAGAACCTGACCAAGTAAGCAAAGTGTATTGCAATACTCTCCTTACAAAAGTTTGTAATTTGTAAAACTCATAATTATGGAGTGTATTGGCAACTGTTACAGAGAACTTCCATTCGTAAATGAATTGAAGCGTGAGCACATTTATATACCAGAATATAAAAGAATATGATTCCATAAACCTAGCATATAACGGCAATCAATAAAAATATATGCATTTCAGGTGCTTAAAACGTGTACAATAAACTAAATAGTTAAAATGAAAAAAAGTAGAGGGTGTGCAAGTAAATAAAAAACTCGTCTATTCTAGGATTTTTACCTCTAAAGCTCTGAGAAGGTCTTCCCTTGAATGAGCAGCCGAGATGCAAATGCGAGCACGTGCCAACAGCAAAGGGGTAGCTGGAAAAGCAACAGTTACCACAGCAACCTATATCATGAAATCAATGATTTTTGTCAAAAAAACAAAACTTAAACAAGTGAAGACGATAGGTCGAGGCCGATAAATTGGGAAAAAGGCATACATTTCTCTTGAGGCATTCACGTGAAAAAGCAGGAATTTTTGCTGGATTATAGAGCATAACGGGCATGACAGGCGAATCATTGTCGCCTAGAACTTCGAAACCCATCTTCTGCAACTCGGACCTGAAGAAGTTACTGTTTTCACGGATTTTGGCAAGCTTTTGAGCCCCTGTATTTTGAACAGTGTACATGATACAAATAGACAGCACAATTTAATGAGTAATAAAAAACGGCAGACAAAATTTTCTACCTCTGCAAGAACCATCTTCTCCGAGAACGACTTTAATGGAAGATATAATTTGCTGAGCTGCAGGTGGTGATATTGATGTGGCATACAGATGAGCAGGACATGTGTACTTGAGGTACTCAATAAGTTCCTGAAAATGACATTCACTATGGTGAGTTGCATAGGCAAATTAAAGGGACCTAATAAATTTTCTTGGGGAAAGCTGTTTCGTATTTTAATGAATTAACATGGCCTGTGACTGAATTAGCAATTGAGAAAAGAGGTCTACTCTGAAATATAAACCCAAGGAAAGAAACACATATTTTCTGCATAGTTAAATGTCTAAGTAGAAAGTTAAAGATATTTTCTGCATAGTTAAATGTCTAAGTAGAAAGTTAAGTAGTTATATCGTATTAAAGTTATAATTTACTTGACATGGTACATAGAAGTAAACAGGAATTGATGAAAGGAACCTTAGATCCAGCAATATAGCCACCACATGACCCGAATGATTTAGTGAAAGTTCCCATCATAATATCCACATCTGCAGTATCAACGCCTAAGAGCTCACATACACCTCTTCCAGTTTTTCCAATAGCCCCAATGCTGTGGGCCTCGTCTAGATAAACGTACGCCTGTTAAGAGTCAAAATCATCAAAAGCAAAAGACAGATCAAGATAGAGCTGAGGAAAAAACAAAGGTAGAATAAATATGCAAACAATCATTGAAAAAGAAGATAATCGGAACAAAAAAGAGAAAATATTGGGGGGAAAAGAGAGAAAAACAAATGGATTTAACATTTCATAGGTGTCAGAAGATGATGTCTCCCAACACACACACAGAGTCACAAACATCACTAATCAGTATTCTGTATTCCAGAAAAGATAAATTCTGGAGAAACACAATGGTGAAAACACATCTTAAGAGGTTTTTCTTTAATTGAAATGATTTTCCAAACACAACAAACCCAAGATTCACTTAAAGCGTGATCGGATGATAGTGATTATCAACCATATGGGAGAAAGAGTTCTGCTTTGGATACACACATTCACCTTGTATTTCTTGCATATGGAAACTATTTCAGGAAGGTTGCAAAGTTCTCCTTCCATACTGTAGATTCCCTCCACAACCACCAAAATCTTTTTCCAAGGTCTGTGTGTTCTGGGCTGTCCGTCAGCAATTTGATCCCTCAGAACCTTCTCCAAATGGGACGGTGCTACAGAAATGACGAGCAACAATCAAGCAACATAGTTATTATATAATTATCTTTCAAGATGGTCCACTCATGAGAGAGAGAGAGAGCACGGATAAAAACAAAAGAAATCAGAAAAGAACAGAAAAAGGAGCGAAGGGTAAAAACGATAAACTTACTGTTATGCTGAAACACTCGAACAGTGGCTCCAGATCCTCGAGCACCATTAACTATGGAGTTATGGTTGAGAGAATCACTGATAATCAAACTTCCCTGCAATATAGAAATAACAATGAGGACCTAATGAAATTGCAAATGGTCAGAGGATAGAGGTGTAACTATGTACCTTCCCCGTCAATACAGGAAGAATGGCAGAATTCGTTACATAACCCATGCCAAAAACTACTGCAGCTTCCTTTCCTATAAAATTCGCTACACACTCCTCCAACTCAGCGTGCAATATGGTTGTCCCTGTTCATGCAGTTTTGGCTGTTAATAGTTAATACTAAACATTGTCAGCTATACTCTCATACACGTATATATCACATGTACAAAATTTACCCCCATCAATCCGAGAACTACAGGTGCTTGGAGAAAATTTCTTCAAGGACTCAATTACACGCGGCGTGCAGTACTCATCTGCTGAAGCAAACCCTAGGTAGTTATACGATCCCAAGTTAAGACACCTTTTCACCTTAGTAATCCGTCTGCACGAAAGAGTATTGATTCGGGAGAAATTTAATAGAAGAAGTTTTTACTCAGAAATGCTTGCTATTGAGATGTAATTCATATTGTAACATTCTATCAGCATCAGGATATTTATAAAATGCTGGAGACTATAATATCAAGCAGGCTCACTAAAGTGTTTTGGACTAAACCATAAACCGAAATAAGAATCAAGAATAATGGAAAATATAATATTCGAAACAGAATTTGAAATCACAATAATGGATAATCAAACTTGGAAACAGGTACTTACTTTAATGTTTTGTTATTGTCATTGGAGACACGCTCCACCAAATCGAACCAAGAATCAGGTGGGCTTGCTATCGGTCTATTAAAGCAATCCTGCAATAAAGTGGATGTTAATGATGTGAACCACAAAATCCAGCTTTTCACGATGCAGGGACGGCGTAATAAACGTTTCAAATCCTGCAGTTTCTAAAATTTGCATTATCTTGCATGCCAAACTCAACGTTCTCACTTCTTTCTCTTTTTGCCTCTTCCAATGACATATAAAATAGGAGGAAATATGGGGAAGAAAAATCTCATTTCTGCCATCTTCCCTTTCTAGTTTCTACCATTTTCCCCAACAGCATAACATTGGATATAACCCGCCCAATGAGACCTCAACATAAAGAAAAGATCCTAAATGAAACATAAATTTCAAAAACTGAATGAATGAAAATTCAAGCACCATAAAAATGGGGGCAATTCAACAAGTATAACATACCAAACAATGTCTTGTCCACAGATCACTACAGTTCAGGAATGAAAAATTCCGAATGCCACAGATAAACCATAATCAGAGGAAAAAAAAAGAACCTGAATTCTTAGATACAATCTCCGAATGTAGAAATCCTCCAGCCCCAAACAGATCGGCGCATAGCCCTTCCACCATCAGAAAAGACAACAGCATTACAGCTCAAAAACCGAATTTTGAATCTCACTCACAGCCAAAACATTTCAACACCTCGAACACGCATAAGCAAACATTTATGTCAAAAGAATACCTGTAGGGTGCTCTGGGCCCACCAGTCTATAATCTTGCGGAAAAAGTCGCGCAGCTGGCCGAACGCGAAAAGGAGGCCATAGCTGAAATATGTTGTCAAGGCGGTGAGATAAGGGATCGTGATCATCTTGGAACCGTCGGAGATCTAATCTGGCGGCGGCGGCGGCGGCGGCGGCGGTGGAAGTAGGATCAGCCCCCTCGGATGAGATGCCGATATAGAGAAGGAAGAGTCAGCTGGACAGAGAAAGTGTGGGGAAGAGAATGAAAAATAAGAATGGAGGGAGAGGATTTAATTTGACCCGCCCTTCTCTCTATTAACCAATTTTTTATTTTATTTTATTTTTCCTTTTTTATTTAATCAATTATTTATTTAGTAGTCTTCGATCATATGCACATGCACAGAGAAAAAGATTGGTGGCTAAAGGCTACGCTCAGAAGGAAGGGGTTGATTATAATGAAGTGTTTTCTCCAGTTGTTAAGCACTCTTCCATTAGAATTTTGTTGGCCTTAGCAGCACAGTTGGATTTAGAGCTAGCTCAACTTGACGTGGCGTTCTTACACGGAGATTTATATGAGGAAATCTACATGGCTCAGCCAGAAGGATTCAAAATTCTTGGAAAAAAGAATTGGGTCTGTAAGTTGAACAAATCGTTGTACGGACTGAAGCAATCTCCTAGACAGTGGTATAAACGGTTTGATAAGTTTATGATTGGACAGAAGTACACACGAAGTAGACACGATCATTGTGTGTATCTACGCAAGCTGCAAGATGGATCTTTCATTTACTTACTCTTGTATGTGGATGACATGTTGGTTGCATCAAAGAGCCAAGTGGAGATTGATATTTTGAAGGCTCAGTTGAATCAAGAGTTTGAGATGAAAGACTTAGGGAAAGCTAAGAAAATTCTCGGGATGGAGATAAGTAGGGACAGAAGGAGAGGCAAGCTTTGTTTGACTCAGAAACAATATCCGAATAAGGTACTACAGCGTTTCGGCATAAAAGATGAGACGAAGCCTGTAAGTACACCACTTGCCCCTCATATTAAGTTAAGTGCCCAATTATCGCCAAATTGTGATGAAGAACAAGAATACATGGATAGAGTCCCATATGCAAATGCAGTTGGTAGTTTGATGTATGCGATGGTGTGTACAAGGCCCGACATTTCACAAGCAGTTGGTGTTGTTAGCAGATATATGCATGACCCTGGTAAAGGTCATTGGCAAGCTGTGAAATGGATTCTACGGTACATTTATAATACTGTAGACGTTGGATTAGTTTATGAGCAGGATGAATTTGGTCAATGTGTGGTTGGATATTGTGATTCTGACTACGCGGGCGATTTGGATAAGCGAAGATCAACGACTGGATATTTGTTCACTTTTGCGAAAGCTCCAGTCAGTTAGAAGTCTACCTTATAGTCAACAGTTGCTTTGTCTACAACAGAGGCAGAGTATATGGCGGTTACTGAAGCTGTGAAGGAGGCTATTTGGCTTCAAAGTTTGCTTGAAGACTTGAGAGTTGGTCAAAAGCACGTCTTATTGCACTGTGACAGTCAGAGCGCTATTCACTTAGCGAAAAATCAAGTATTTCATGCAAGAACGAAGCATATTGACGTTCGCTATCACTTTGTGCGGGAGATTCTAGAAGATGGAACCGTTGTGTTGAAGAAGATCAAGACGACGGAGAATCCTGCAGATATGATGACCAAGGTAGTGACAGCAGTCAAGTTTGAACATTGTTTAGACTTGACCAACATTCTGCATATTTGAGTTGGCGCCATGAGGCGCATTTGGAGGCACCGCCAGCAGTTGATTTGGATTGAAGAGTCGTAGTGGGAGCAAAATTAGTCAAGGTGGAGAATTGTTAGATTTTGATTAATTGTTTGTCCCACATCGGATGTATACCAAAGATGTAGGATCTTATTAGTATAAATAGGTCCCTTACATTTGGGTTACAATTGCACCTTATTCTATTCCCTCCTCTCTTAGAAGGAAATCCTTAATTAAGGAAATCTTAATTTGTGGGTTATTTAACCCTAGTTGTATTTTGTTGGTGAGTTTAGTAAATTTGGCGTTGCGGTTGGCGGTGCCCGGAGACGTAGGCTATTTTCGCCGAACTCCGTTATCAAATTTTTGTGTTCTTTTTATTTCTCGTCTTTTATTTATTTGTGTAGGCTTATTCTTGTTTGGAGTAGTGCTTGCCATATTTGTTGGAGGGGTAGTTTTGTCCGCTGCGCTTGGTATTCTACCCCAACAATTCTTTGAGGAAAAAGGTAGATTGGTTGGGAATATTAAAGTTTATAACAGATAAAAGAAAAGTAACAAAAAGATAATATCTAATTTCCTTGATTAATTTTATTCACAAGTCATTTTTTCAAATCTTGTGCTAGTGTCAATATTTAAAAAAGACCAACACAGTGGGAGAAAAAAAAAAGGAGGAATTTAGTATCAACGTATGTGTCGACTAGGGCTGCAAACGAATCAAGCTGCTCACGAGCACTCGAGTCAAAGCTCGACTCGAGCTCGAGTTTGACCGAACTCGAGTGGAGCTCGAGCGGCTCGAGCACGAACTCGAGTCGAGCTCGAGCCATATTTTGCCTTGTCGGGCGGCTCGTCGAGCGGCTCGTGATATATATAAATTACTAAAATATCCATTTATATATATATTAGCATAGGTCTTTAATGGTAATTTTACCTTTCTATTTCAAAATTTTCGAGCCGAACTCGAGCATTTTGATTTTGAGTCGAGCTCGAGCTCAATCAGCTAAAAAAAAAAAAAATTAATCCTACTCGATAAGGCCAATATTCGACTCGGCTCGGCTCGTTAGCACCCTAGTGTGGACTATCAACACAACTAGTTCTAAACAAAAATTGTATACCATAACTTATTTATAAACTGAGATGGTGAAATAATTTACTTTAAAAAATAATGAGCAAATGTATATTATTATTTCTTATTTATTGATAAAAGGTCTTCTCGTGATTGGAGACGAAAACAATTGAATAGTATACTTATTGAATTTTCCTTACCATTCAGAAAAAAAATAAAGAAATCTCTATATCAAATAATTGAATATTATACTTATCAAATTGTTGCTTCAACCAATCAGAACAAAATAAAGAAAATCTTTACATCAAATGACCACAACCAATCAACCTCGTGAGAGAAAAGTAATGATTTTATTTCTAATTGCCGCTTGTGAGCCTCGTTTCACTATGAAGGGTAGAAAATATGAGTTTTATATAATTTTCTAATAACTTGAATTATACAGTTCATATTCGGTTTGTTAATATTGATAAGTGAGTCAAACTCGAACAATTTTTCACTCATTAAACTAACGATACAAGCTCGACGATCGTCCCATTTGCACCCTAGTACAAGGACAGGGACGTTGCATGATTTACGTACCGAAATGAATCTACCTGAAAAGTAGCAATAAGCCACCATTATTGACGGCAGTTTTTCACATTCAACATTCATTCTTCACACATAAAATGAAAAGGATACATCATCATTAAACAAATAAATTTATATTCCGCTTTAATGTTTTTCCAGATGCCGGATATTTCCAGTCTATTAAGTTATATTTTCCAAATGTTTAATTTATCTGTTAAGTTCGTATACACAACATTCAATAACTAAAATCAATAGGGTTAACCAAAAAAAGTGTTTTGCAACTTGATCAATTTAAGAGGACTTACTAGAAAATTCTCAGTTCAATTGAAAACTTGATACTGATGCATATACTTGCATCTTTTTATATCTCAATGAGTTCATTTTTGCCTAAAAGCCACATGCATATTCAAAATATAAAAACAAACAGCAAACAGTACAGAACATATGGATTGATGTTAAACGAATATTTTCAAGATCAAAGTTCACAACCATTTTTAAAAATCTTTTATTACCAGTGTCTCACTGTGTTTGGTTAGGCTCTATTCCCTCTTCACTGATGGTGTGTATGTCAAATCTATAAGGACAGCAAAACCGGTAATGGCTCAGTCTTTAGCCTTTTAATAATCCTAAATGGTAACATTGTAAGGGTCATTCAGTGCTTTTGCTTGGCCCCACTGGCTTTCGGTCCACTGAGGATGTGTGCAAAGAGGACAACTATGAGAAATACCGAAATATGTGATCCATAATTTGACAGCAACTTCTGCACAAAGGGAAAATAAAAATATATCATAAAGTGAGACCCCTAAATGCGTTGAGCACGCAAAACGTTCAGAATATATTTGAAAATTGGAGGAAATAATAACTTAAGCTGAGATAATGAGATGAGATCAACCAACGGTAAGTCGGTAACATTAATCTTAATTACATAAATGAAGTAGAGCTCTTTCTCGAAATCTAAAACATTCTCGTCACCTAATGAAGGGCAATTTGTTAGTAAGTGATCAATATACAAGAGGGTAATTGTATTATTAAAGGCCATTGAGATTAGGCTATACTCTAGAGGTTAGATTCTGTAATCCAAAAGCAATTTGCTTCAACCAGAAAATAAAAAATAACTACACATTCACAATCCAAGTTTAATAAATGACACCAACAGAAAGTACCAACATTCTACGCCTGATGATTATGGTTTTACTGACATGAGACTAATGATAATTCCTCAATCTTATGAAAAAGAGTCATTACCTTTGCCTGAAAGTTTTTGTAAGCCACAGGATAATTGCATCCACGAAGACAATAGAGGGTGGGTACGGAAAAAGGTAAAAATGTACAATCAGTATCAACTGGCGAAAAATAAATATTGTGCTAGGATAAAAAAATGCTTCATAGTTATAGTCTTATATAGGTAGAGAAGAAGAATATTACAATTTCGATCTTTTTCTGGGGGACAGGCTCTGATAGAATGTTTAATGGCAGAAGTGGGGTCGAATATGCTTCCTGAAATAATAATCAGAAAATCAGAATTGTAACAAGCCAACTGTTGTTAGAAATCTAGGTTTGGGGAAAAACAAACCTGAAGCTTCGACTTTGTCGGAACTCGGTAATTGATCAAAGCAGGTGCCCCATAGTAAACAGTTTTCACCTTCGATTCCAACTCAAACGAATGTGACACGATGGAACCACTGATATAAATATATGAAAATAATCATTTTATCAGTAACATAACAAGAAAGTGTAGAACGAACTCTTAAAATGCTTAAATTCTAAAAATTTAGAAGCTTACGCATCAAGTCTATCCCAGGTCTTAGATGTATTGCCAATAATAGAATCGAAAATCTCCTGGTTCCAAGAATTATCAGTGAGGGTCACGTCATATGCTGTGCTGCAATAGAGAAGAATTTTTTAGTTTCCACAAATGGTATTGACAGTGAAATATCATTGCAAGAAATAAAATACAGAGAGAAGAAAATGATCCAAAGACTCATAACCAAAAGGAGATTGACATATAGATGTTCTAAAGGAAGTGATAGACAAAGATTTGCAGAAAACCATTCATAGACTGTCAAAATGTTACAAGGCATAAATGAAAAATCTTAATGACATCCTATAAATCCTTGATCAACTAAAGTCTTCCGAGATAATATGATGCATACAATCTACAGGAAATATAGGACTAAGATTTCATTTTAAGAAAATTTCACTCTTTCACAAGTGATCATAGGTTGAAGTAAAATGATATAACTTAAAATAAAAAGGCAGCAAAATGATACTATAATATAAGCTAGTCTCTATGTACACTAATTAAACAAAAGAAAATCATACACCAGCTTTTCTAATCCAATTTATCAGGATAAAACAACTGAAATGAAGTTGATTGGTGGAATGGGTATGAAATTTGAGAAAAGGTAACATAAACAATCAGGACTCAAAAGACCAAATACATTAAACAAAAAACAAGTAAAAACTTTTCAGACCTTAAAAAGAATATCATACAAAATAAGAAACAAACCCAATTTGCAACANAGCCCATAAATAAATTTTTATACAGACGTCCTGAAGAGAAATTTATAACACGAAACAAATAAATTAAAAATGCGTTATTGGTGTCATAACAACAGGATCGGAACATGCATTCTGGAAATAAGCCATGAGCCATCAAAAGAGAAACACACACACACACAAGAAAAATCAAGCACAAAACATTCAACATTTATGTTCTCCGTACAAAAGGCATGCAATTAGAAACAAGCATTTGGCTAACAGACCGAGAAACACACTAACACAAACACAAAACATCGTCAAAGCTCACAATTTTGCAGTAAACCTGAAAGAATAACACTAAACCAAGAGATGGATAAGTTGTGAGTACTCGGATCCAGTGTTGTAGATGTCGATGGATACGGAGACCCGCTCCAGATCCGATTTCAGCTTTCTCTGAGAAACCCTTTTATGCGCCACGATAAATGGAGAATTTCCCTCCCCGCACACTGATGAAGAAAATAAAATCAGGTGTAAAACGGAAATGGTTGTCAAATAAAAAGCGAACGCCATTGAAATTGCTTTGAAAAGCTTTTTTTCTCCCCTCGATTTTTTCCGACTGGTACTGACCGTGGTCGGCTTTGTTGGGGAAAATGAGAGTGAACTGTTAATTTATTTATAAAATATTGTTAAGCGGGTCAATATTTTCTGAGCCCAGTTTCACAAAGTACTTGGGCTTGCATAATGGGCCAAGCACGGATATATCTATATTAGTTGATCTTTGGTCTTACTGTTGTATTTGGGCGATAGGTTTGGCTCAAACACATTTACAGAAAATTACACCGCTCATCTCCAAATTTTGTTTTATTTGCATATTTATGAAGATTTTTTTTCAAATTATAACCATTTACTAACTTTCATTATTTATAAATAGTAGGTTTGCAGTTTATTTTTTTCATTGTTTTCTAAATTACATTGATTTTTGAATATCGTTTTGTAGCGACCATCACGTTCGACACGTCAAGCAGCAACTTGAACGCGATTGAGATCTGCTCGAACAGAGGCGGCAGGGTGAGGAGTATCTTCGTGACGATCTCGCTCTCCGCCAATTTCGCGTCCAACATGGCGAGGTGTGTCGCCATGCCGTTCAAGAGCAACGCATATTCCTCGACAATTTCGCCGTCTTCAAAGGCGGCGAGGTCGAATTTTTAACGTAGTTGCTGCACCGTCGACCTCCTGAGCAGTCGTCCCCGATCCTCATGGTCGCGATTGCATCCCAGGACTCCCTCGCTGTCTCCTTTTTGGCGATCGTCGGTACCATCTCCGGTGGCACCGCGCCGCACAAGGAGTCTAGTGCCATCATCTTCTATTGTGGATCGACGCCGCCGTACTCTATCATGCTTCAGAGAGCCCTGGCCTTCAACTTGACATTCATCAAGAGCGCCCTGTCGGAGTAATTGGTCTTGGTGAGAACATGATAGCTACTCCCGCCGCTCACCTCCCGAATCACTCGCTGGATAACACCGCCATCCTTTGAGGAGCCTTCGGTGAACTTCTTCCCACTCATGGTCCCAGACTTCCAGGAACGAATAGATTTGATGCCACTTGTCAGAAACTCACCAGAAAGACAACACCCGATGCCGGCGAGATCACTGTCAAAACATAAGACACAATAGAAAACTCATGCGAACACGAAAGAACACGCTCTTGTTTAGTGCTGTTGAATTGACCCATTTTCTTGTGCTATCCTATTGCTTATATAGAGGAATACAAGGAGCTAAATAACGCCTACAACTTAAGATTACATGGAAACTATAATCAAGAAAATATTCACAACTTATCTAGGGAAACAACTAAAGAAAGCAAATAAACTAATTTAGGTGCACAAGGATTATATCTTGTAATAAAAGATTTCCTACAGAAAATATATGTGCAATATGAAAAAGTACAATGATAATGATGATGTATTAACATGGAACTTGGTTACCCTTATACAGGGTGAGTATCTTGATGCGATAAAGAATCTTTGTTAGAAAAAATATCCAACTTGATCCTCTTGCCTAACTTACCACGTTTTTATCTAGACAAGTTTTCTCAGCAAGTTATACTTTCTTTCTTACTAGGATTCTTTCCCCTTTACTGCACAACTCTTAGGTCCGCAGGTCGTAACCACGACCTCCTGACCTTCTTAATGTAACCTGACTGAGGTCGACTCCCAACCTCCGAATTACGACCCCAACATCCTAAGGACATTCTTCCTACCCGAGCTCCTGGAGTTCGTAGCCTCCAGATCATCTTATTAGGTCGACCAGAACCTTGAGCTACATTCGCGAGCTCCTTAACTAGGTTAGCTTCTTCTTAGCGAGCTGAAGCCTGTCTTGGCCTTCCTACCCCGAGCTAACCACTCATGCTGGCCCGCCGAGTTATTCTCGGAGCTTATATCATCTAGCCCTCTATTTCAAAATGAGCTGCCAATACTTGTGCTGAAATTGTACCTTGTCGTGCCTGCTCTCAACCCTCTCGACTGCCCACAACTTTGACATCTTTGAAGGATAAGGTACATCCATAGAAGCTCTTGTGTACGAGCTGCATAGCTCCTTAATGACTCGTTCTCCTACTGCGGCAACGCCAACAATGTGAGGTAGGTCTTCTCTTGGGATCTGGCATTGGCGAACTGGTTGAGGATTATGTGGTCGAAAGATCCTTAAAATCTCTGACCGACCCTAGGTAGAGCTGGTGGAACCAATTCTGGAAAGCTGCCAGAAAAGCTCTTCACCTTACAACATTAGTGTATCCATGTAAGATTGTCATATTCTTAAAACTTCACAGATGATGTGTCGAGTCAGTAGACCCATCATATGTGATGCTAAGTTGTTTGAAACCATTGGGTAATTCTGCCTCGAGCACGTCTCGTGCAAAAAGAATGTCCTCACACCCTCCTGTTTGTTTTCCTTCTACCTTGGCCTGTACCTCTCGAATTTGAGCCGTTATCCTCTCCACTGCCAGGTCGCGTTGAGATCCTTGGATCAAAATGCTTGATATTTTTGTTAGATATGCTGTAACCAACAATTTTGACCTCCTCCCTCCTTGTCGGTACAATGTGGTTCACTGAACTCGACACTTTTGGTTGAGCGAACCTAATTGTAACAGCCTCTGTTATTATTCAGTTCAACTCATCTCTTATGACCATCACAACATGCTCTCTTGCTGGAACATCCCCTGTTCTTTCCGGTGGTCTTCTCATGTCCTTCTGAGGTGGATCTTGTTGTGCCATAAGTACTGGTACCACCTCTGCACCCAATCTGCCCTTTAGTTGAGTAATTAGACCATTGGTTACTGTTGCACACAACGAAGAACCTCCGAAACCCGAGAGGTTGGAAATCAGAGTGACTGACGCCAAAATGGACCTTGAAAAGCCCGATAGTGGGCCTGCTTCAAGCGGGCGACTGGAGTCACTGGACACCCAAGCCTCGTCAAAGCTAGGTTCTAATTATTTTATGGGATCATTGCTTTCCATGGCTACTATTTGATGTCTTTTTGAATTACGTCCCCACATGCGACACCAAATGGCATGTACATGACCTTGATTTGATCCCAGGTCATTTGAACCGTCCTTGAACCATAAGAATGACCTGCAAAACAGCTTCCGGGGTTGTCTCCGCGTAGAAGCTCTGACGCTTAAGTTAGTATTTGGGAGTGATGATGCATGTAATGTGTATTAGCTTAGAATATTTCGAGATAGAAGAAGAATGATGATGATACTCACTACCTTATATAAAATAATTTATCTTGCTACCTAAGATCTGCCTGATCTCGCTGTCCAGGTGCTTAGGCTGCCCAATCTTGTTGCCTAAGAAATCATGTTACCTACGTGTTCTTCTAGTTCAATCATGTTTACACAATCCTTTATCTAATGCATTCACACCAATATACTTCCTTAGGTAGTTATTCCAGACATAACCACGCTAAATAACTAAATTCTCTCTTATTCTGATCTTTACTGATACAAAATTTGCCTTTGCGGTTGTCAATCAACCTTTTTAGTTTTAGGTCGAGTTTCCATCAGACTATCTCAGAGTCCTAGCTCGACCCGTCGCTGTCCTCATCTCATTGACCTGACATTTCTTCAATCTTAGGCCTTTGTGTTGTATGACCTCCAATCGAGCTACCAGCCCACTCGAACCTCTCGAGCTGCTCTCAGGTCATACAAGCTCTAATGGTTAGTATAATATGCCATATCAGTATAATATAGTAAAGGGACAACTGGTGTTTTATATTTATATGTACATAAATAATAATATTATGTGTACGAAAAGATTACAACAAATTGTACAAATTAATTTGTAGTAATCTTTTTCTGTACATTAATCATGTGTTAAGAATGGGTTTTAAACAATCTAATATTGGATAAAGGGGTAATTATCATCAGTATATTCAAAGGATGTCTAGACGATCCCACTTTTTTTGGTATAAACATTTCTGAAATGTTTCACATTTAGAAAAAAATGTATAGCTATATTCAATTACTTATATTGACAGCTGATTGGGTTTTTGGTTAATCAAGGTCAATTTTGCAAAAGTTGGTATGATTAGCTGTTAGCAAGATTTTAAGTTTGTATTAAAATAATATTTAAAATAAAAAGATTAAAACTGATTGATGTAAAAGTAGGAGATAGATGATTGAACGTGATAGGTAGTTAAACTTATGTGAGTGGATGAATAATTTATTCACTTGATTTGATGTGTAAGGATGATTGATTGATAATATTTAATTATATTGATAATATTGAGGATAATGATATTGAGTTAAAGTTGAGTTAGAATTTTAGTTGCGATTTATTATTTATTTATTTATTTATTTTGGTAAATTGGCAAACAAGCAAGCCCCTAGGCCGATAAACCTAGTTTGTATACATGCTATTTTTGGTAAAATTAGCTTCTAGCTAATAACTGATAAGTTGGCCGATAGCTTATAAGTGAATTTCGAGCTTATAACTGATAGTTTATTGCTAAAATCTAGCTAATATAATAAAAGTGTTAACTATAATTAGCTGATAAACCAGCTGCAATGAAAATTTCAACGGGCTTATTTGTAAACTACCCAGCTTATGAGATAACTTGAGCTTTTTAAAAAAACTTGTCCTACCAAACCATACTTATTTGTATACAAAAGCTTATAATCTAACCAAATAAACTATAAGGTAGCTTATTGTGCTTACCAAACACTCTCATAAAGTGCTCTTTTAATAAACTAGGTACAATTCACCAACTAAAAAACTCTCATGTTCTTCACTGTAACGTGCTTCCATGGTTAGCTGTATGTTAGCATGCTAAAAAATCGCCCTTGTTTGGTATCGAATGAAACTTTTTTGTTTTATTTTATTTTTCGGAACGATAGTCTTTTTAACTAAGAACACATAACTACAAACTAGATGCAGCTGAATCAAGCAGTTAAAACGTTGCAACTAGTGGGAGGACAACTCAAAGAGGAGGCTAGACAAGCACAAGACACTCACGATAATATAATACTCCCAACAGGATAATAACACCATTTCCAAAAGGAGAATAATATTTTGTATGTTTTTGTTGTTGTTTTATGTGCTTTTAAGTGTTCTATTTGTGTTTGTCTTAGTTTATTTTA